CATCCACAACCCCCTCCCGCCCCCAGAGCACCGCGCCCTGCGGTTGGCGGACGGGGGCGGCCCCTGCGCCGGCCGCGTGGAGATCTTGGAGCGCGGCCAGTGGGGATCGGTGTGCGACGACGCGTGGGACCTGCAGGACGCCCACGTGGTGTGCCAGCAACTGGGCTGCGGCTGGGCGGTCCAGGCCCTGCCCGGCTTGCACTTCGCACCCGGCCGAGGGCCCATCCACCGCGACCAGGTGAACTGCTCCGGGGCGGAGGCCTACCTGTGGGACTGCCCGGGGAGGCCGGGAGACCTCTACTGCGGCCACAAGGAAGACGCCGGTGTCGTGTGCTCAGGTGAGTGGCGTGGCTGAACACCGGTCTTCTGCCAACACTTGCCTAGGCCTAGAATCTGGGCACCAGGCCTGGGGTTAGTGCCAAGAGGCGCCCCTGCCCTTGGGCAGTCCCAGTCTAGGAGGGGAGATGAGACCCACACAAACAAATCAGGGCTGAAGGTGGTAGACACCCAAGAAAGGGTGTCAGGGGGAGGCGTCCAGAGGCTGCAGGCAATCCGGAGTTGGAGGATGGCATGGCTATCTGGAGGAGGTGGCATCAGTGGTGGGACTCTTCTTGAAGGCTCCCGGGGAGGATGATGGATCCTCCAGGTGACAGCTAGGAGGTCTGGGCCAGCAAGTGTCTCTCCTATAAAGAGATGGGGGTTGTTATCATATAGATTCTGATTCAGGTCTGGGGCAGGGCATAGGATTCTGCATTTCTTTCTTTCTTTTTTTTTTTGAGACAGGGTTTTACTCTGTCCCCCAGGCCAGAGTGCAGTGGCACAATCACGGTTCACCACAGCCTCAAACTCCTGGGCTCCAGCGATCCTCTTGCCTCAGCCTCCTGAGTAGCTACAGGCTTGAGCCACCACGCCCAGTGCTCATTTTTTGATTTTTTCTGGAGACAAGGGCTCACTATGTTGCCCAGGCTGGTCTCAAACCCCTAGCCTCAGACAATCCTCCCACTTCAGCCTCCCAAAGTGCTAGGATTACAAGGCTCAGAGATTCCACATTTCTAGCAAGACCCCAGGCAGTGCTGACGCAGCTGGTTCCAGACCACACTCTGGGCTACAAGGATCTTGAATATCGCAGCAGGGTGGGCCACAGCAGACGGAGCAGATGAAAGGGGGGGTCACGGACGCAGTAGGGAGAAGGCCCAAGATCTGGAGATGGATAGCCACATCGTTGCCTGCATTTGATGGGTCTGGACTGGCAGGAATTTGGGCCCAAAGGATCCTTACCTGACTCTGCCCCCCCACCCTCCCCCACAGAGCACCAGTCCTGGCGCCTGACCGGGGGCGCTGACGCCTGTGAGGGGCAGGTGGAGGTACATTTCCGAGGGGTCTGGAGCACGGTGTGTGACAGCGAGTGGTACTCTTCAGAGGCCAAGGTGCTCTGCCAGACCTTGGGCTGTGGAACCGTGGTGGAGCGACCCAAGGGGCTGCCCCACGCCTTGTCAGGCAGGATGTACTACTCTTGCAAGGGAGAGGAGACTACCCTCTCCAACTGCTCCTGGCGGTTCAACAACTCCAACCTCTGCAGCCAGTCCCTGGCTGCCA